AAAAAAAAAAAAAAAAAAAAAAAAGGCAAAGCATGGGGAACTCAGGAGCGCCACCAGGGCCATGATAACCACATGTCAACCGCCTCTCCAACATCACAAGATACGAGAGAGGATCTTGCCTTCGCCTGAAGACTATTCAGAACAGAGGCCGGAGGGTTTAGGGTTTAATAACAGAGCAGGGCAGAAGGAGGCCAGAAGACTGAGCGGGTAGCAGAGTAGGGCACAGGAGAGCAGCGAAGGAAGAGAGACGAGGAGGCAGACCCACACTGGGGAGAGGAGCTGGTGACTCCAGAACATAACAAATAGCTGACAGCTATGACAGCTCAGAGGGAGGTCATGGGCTCCCAGGGAAAGTACATGCGACGTGAGTAGGGTGGGATGGCGGCTGAATCTTACTGGTCGCCCAGATTGGATGACCAGTCACCTGCTGCATCTCTGCTCTTCAACCGCTGCAGCCATAACAAACAACGACGCTCGGTAGCTTGCCCGAATATATGAATATGGAATTTTTCTGGAAAAGAAAAAAACAGGTTGGACGAGTGCCCTGGAAGCTACTGGTTGTTGAATAGAGCGCCCCCAGTGTGGCCTGCACCCATTTGCCGCCTACCGCAAGGCAGAGAACGAGACTATCTCACCATAATTTTTTTCCTCCCTTTTTTCGTCCCAGTATTGTTATTTATTGTCACCACCTCCCTACATCAGGATTGGGTAATTTACTTGCCTGCTGCCTTCCTTGGATGTGGTAGCCATCTCTCAGGCTGACTCTCTCACCAGATTCTTGCTCCCATGACAGCACTTCCAAGTTCCAACACGGAGACAGGGGAGACGACCCTATCCCGCAACCAGCTCCTGCTTCAACCACATTCCTCGGACGTGACAACTCACCGATATCTGACAGCTGAAGCGTGTTTGATTGAATCGCAATTAGAAACACCAGACCCTCCTTTCACCCATATCCGTAGGCGGCAGTGTCGGTATCATACTATCATCATATATTTGCTGTACACAACTCCACCAAAGGAGCATGACTGTGCCAGATCATTTCATCAAAATCGCACCATCTCCTTACGGGTTTGAAGTCGGACAATCTTCCCAGGATGCATTTTACTGATGCCGCACGACTCACAACATCGCCCACAATGTCCATCCAAACCCGTCGCAAGAGCAGCAGTACGTTAAGAGGAACTACCGGTAGTCTGTCACAGCCATAGAACCCTCTCCATGCACCCACTCAGCCAGGCATACTCACTACCATCTTCTCCCGAACACAACGTACCCTCATTTTGTCTGCACATGACCGGCAAGATGGCCTGTATACATTCCCGAGCTGTGTTCACGGGAAGACGGTAACATGTGTCAGAGAGTGTGTGTGTGTGTGTGTGTGTGTGTGTGTGTCCTTCAGCAGACACCGACTTAGATCTAACATCCAGGTCAAGAGAGAGGGTGGAGAGGCTTGACATTTGCCGCGTGAACTGTTTGCCATACGTACTCGATTGAGCAGTGCATACAAACTTGATTAGGCACCCAGCTCCCACAACATCAGATGGAAGAAATATACAGGCATGCCTTTACTTGAAATGGCTCCCCTCCATATCTGTGTGTGCCTATACAGGCTCGGCGAATATGTTAGGGATAATCCAGTCAGACAAATGAATCAGGAATGTAACTCCTGTCGTTAGGTTCAAGTACGCCTGCAACATCGACCAGCCAGCTACGGTAGTGCAGAATCATCTGAAAGGAGGCCATAATACTTGCAATCCTCGGTTCACCCAGGTGACCTTCCTCCGCTCAGAAGCATCCCGGGCAAACCAGGCAATCCACTGGAGCAGTGCACCCAGGGGCATCCCCAGCCCGTTTCGCAGGGGGGGGGGTACTGGGTCACGTATGGGCTGGACAGCCTCCCGCCACCTCCCAGGGGTCGTCGTTCGGCTCCAGAAAAAGAGGGGGCTGGTAGGCCCCCACTTTTGACAAGAAACTGGCGGCCAATCTGGGCCACCGACCTTGCAAGGTCGGGAGCCAAAATCAGCCGCCTTTCTGGTCGTTGCATGGGATCCAAACTCCCGCGCCATGACACAGCTTGCCCCGCGTCTTCTGACGCTGTGCTTGCACTTACCCTTCAGCTTGCACTCACCCTCGCGCCTTTCCCTCCCTCAAGACTGGCTCTCGTTTTGAGAGAGTGGACACTTGCTGCTTTGCTGCCATGACTACACTGTGCCGTCGCCCTTGTGCCACTGCCATTTGCCCGCCATCACCCTCCCCCTCCGATGTGTTGGAGGGAGGACGCTCACACCATCGCCAGGAGTTGCGCTGAGGCCAGGAGAAGCTCAGCATCACAGTAGGAGTCGCGCTTGCGTCTTCTTCGTCTTCTTCTTCTTGGGGGGGGAGAGAGAGAGAGAGAGAGAGAGAGAGAGAGAGAGAGAGAGAGAGAGAGAGAGAGAGAGAGAGAGAGAGAGAGCAGTTCATAGAACTGTTTGCCTGTCTCCCTCCCCCTCCCTCATTTTCTTCTTCGCCCGTTGCCCTCCCCCCTCCCCCCTTCGCCATCTTTTACTTCTTCACCTGTCGCCCTTC